GGTGATATAATTATATATTTGATAAGTTAGGTTAAATTTAACATAATCTTCCTGCATCTGTACGTGTGCAGTTACTTACAGTGTTCTGCATTGCAGCACATGCCTCTGTAATTTCTTGACAAGGAATCTCCAATATAACCGATTTCTTATGTTACACGATACCATTCAAAATACCCCAAAGCACTTTTGATTTACTATCATAGGTCATCATTTACTATCATAAGTCACATACAGGGTCAGAGCTAGGCATTTTGCTGCCCGATGCAATTTCTACGGTTTCTAAATTCAGCTGTTCGGTGCTTCTTAGATTCTAAAAATTTTGCAATTTCTAAATTCAGCTTCAGTATGTAAATACCGTTTGTTAAAGGATGCGTGCGTTTTTCTGATAGACCTGCATTTGTCTTTCTCAGTTTTTTTCTGTGATAAATCAAAATTGTTTCTTGGATATTTTTTAATACTCTTGAATGTATTTGACTTTGTCTATTATATTCTTATATTTGAAATATTTTATTGAACAAGAATAATAAATTTCCTTTAATCTCGAATCTTGATTTGTGAAATATTCACAAGGGTTAACATTATACTTTACAACTGGAATGAGAGTACTTACTTTGTGTGCAACTAATGTTATTGAAGGAATAAATAATGCGTGAATCTGTATCGTAACAGGCAATTTATGAGAGACTTTAAGTAGAAATGAAATCATATTCATGATCAAATGTTGTATTATTTTTAATATTAGGTGTGTTGTAAAAATTCTGGATGTTCTTTTGGTGAAGAGGTATACAAATACGTTGTCCATTGCTTGATTACTCCTTTTGTTTCTCATAAATCGAGGAGCATGAATGAATTTTTTTGAATATTGGAGACAACTTTAGTGTTGTTCAGAATATACTGAAAAGATTTTAGATTGCCAAATATACTTTCTATTAATATTTTTAATATTACTACTTTAACACTTCGTCCGAAAAATACTCGTAATTATTGAAAATATATTCACAGTTAAAAATTGGAAAAACAATGTTGAGATGTCTGTAAGGTCCGTACGGAAATTTTCTGTCATATGGTTCTCGATAAAATTTTTATTAATAACATAAATTAAATTTATTGTACTTTAGTTGGCTGACAATTAATAATTTTCAAATTTATATGACGGCCCGTACTCCTTACCGAAGTCTTCCCCAATAGGGATTATTTATTACTTTTCATCTAGCAAAATCACCATCTCCCTAGTAGTACAAATGTATTAGTTATAATTTAAATTCTTAGACTAAAAGAACATAATTTTAATTAATTTTATCGTTTTTTGGTATGTTTGTAATTCTAGTATTTAATCTAACTGAAACTCTGTTCACCTAACTGAATTTTGCTATGATGTACTTCGTAATGTCAGTGAAATATCGCCCAGACCACAGTCAACTTATACGACCACAGGTTAAAATTCAAACAAACATTTATTTTTCAGAGTTCGCCATTATTTGAACCTATTAATTAGCAGATACTCTCAGACGTTTTTTCTTCCCATCTGTCTTTTAACTAAAAGGACACAACTAAATCAAAAGTTTAACATAACGTATCTACAAAATTATTTCTACTTACTAACATCTCAACCTGATGTGATTACACAAATTTTAGGAAAAACGGAACTTCGTTAGCTTGTTTATAACCAAAAGACACGTTTAAATTAAATAGAATGCAAAATACAAATTTAACACGTTTAACTAAGCATTGACTCCCTAGGTGTTCAAAGAGAAAAATCGAAGCTAGTAGAAACTTAACGCAAGACAAATTGCAAAAGAGGAAAATTAAAGCAAGCTGATGGCCAGTCTATGCTGCCAAGCGCTTTCTGAAAAATGCATAAACTAGAAGCTTGTTTGTATTTTAACTAATCTGCATTGTGGTTGAAGTTGGCGAATTTATAGTAAAGCGGTAAATAAGATGTTCATTAAAATAAAGGCCTTACAATTTGATCACTCCTGATGAGTTGCAACTGTAGAAATAATTAACAAGCTAAAGGGTCACTTATTTACCAACAACAATTGATAAAAATCAGAACTGCCTAGAAATGTACAATTATCAAAATCAAATCTCTTAAAGCAAACACCTGGCTTTGATCCTTAGTTAATCTTTATGGAAAGGGTTCATTTTACCAACCTACGATAGCAACAAGATTAGACACGGGCTCCGACCAATATTACTTTCTTTCCAGGGCAAATAGCTGGATTGGCGCTAGGAGTCACGAGCAACCATTTAGAGGTAGGAATAAACCTCCTTTCTACATCCATGGCAGCAGCAAGACAGCACATTAACACCATTAACATTAACACCAGAGAGACAGCCCCTGCCCTGGAAAGCTCTTGGCTCTCCTTTCAAGGTTTGATGAGCTGCAACTCCAGGGCCGATCTGGTAGGGCGCCACCCCTCCCGATCGCTGCAGAGGGTTAATTTCCCTCACAGTTTGGATCATCAGTGCTTTGCACCGACTAGCTACGCAAGTTAAGAAAAATCCAAAGTTCAATTTTCCCCCGAACGGGTCACCACTCCGTCGAGGTACTACTCTCAAAGTTCAAGCCAAAATAGAGTTCATACGTCTCTCCACACCGACCAGGAGGAATCTATCCTCCCAGACCAGCAACTACCATCCACCATGTAGCTCCCCACAGCTTTGGTCGCAGACAAGACAATACCAACAGTCCCTGTCAAGCCTGAACGACCATCGAATAATCAATGGCTCTAGTCTTTCGCTGTGAAGAATGTTACTTTACACTGTATTTCGGAGCTGTCTAGACACATAAGTCTAGCCAGTGATCTGAAAGAACCCCGGGTCTCCTCCCATAAATGGTCGGTTCCGGAAATCCCATTCAGCCGAGCCACAGAGATCTTTGTTCAGCATCCGTTAGCCTATACCAACCAGCTTTATAGCCTAAAATTGTCCGAGGACAACCAGCTTTATAGCCTGAGTGTTGGCATAGTTTCCAGCGGGCGCCACGAGGAGGCCGATGCTGAACTGTGGGAGTCGAGACTAGTCTCCATCCCACAACACCAACCCTTCGATCGAACGCTGGGTCTCCTGCCTTCCGCCACTGTTTACGACGATCTTCCTCGCACGGTTCACGCCGCTCCCAGTGGTTTTCAACCGGTTCCAGACATCCGTCAGCCGGGACGGTGTCGGCAGCTCATCACCTAGGATCAAACACCAGGTCTCCTACCGCCAGCAGTAGGTTCTGGATATCTGTCTTCGGGTCAGATCGCCACCCGCCAGCAAGACAGCACAGTACAGGGTGTCCATAATTAAACTTGAAATTTGCGAGCAGTTTGCAGCAAAACCTATACAAAGAATCGCATGAAAATTGGGTAATGGCAGAATGAAATGATGGGAATTTAATCGAGGGGGGGAAAACAATGAATTTCAAAAATCACCTCTAAGTGGCATTTCATAACTTCATTTAGAACATGTAAATAATCTACAAAAGTTTACAAAACATGCTCGATATGATGTCCACCATTGTCTGCTATCATCTGGAAGCGTAAAATTGCATGTTCGACTGGTTAAAGCAGCATGAACTGGGGAATGTTACGTGCATGGCGTTCTGTGCTTTCTTTAATGTCGTATAGAGGATGTGATGGGATCACCATGGCTTTGAGGTATTCCCACAGCCAAAAGTAGCAAGGATTCAAGCTGGGGAATCTAGAAGGCCAAGCTGTAGGAAATTGCCAGCTGATGATTCTGTCGTCACCGAAGTGGCGGCGGAGAACTTGTTTCACACAACGGGCGATGTGTGGAGGTGCATCATCCTGCATAAACACTGTGGTTTTATCACATCGCCTCGCCTGAAGAGCCAGAATAACGGATTGGTCTAATAATAAAGCGGGTCGTTAATCGGTGTCGGTGCATGTCAAAGGCCCTGCTATTCTGTGCTCTTCGAAAAGAAAAATGGACCCACATTGAAGGTTGCAGTAAAGCCACACCAAACATACGAAGAGTACATACGAAGAGTGTAATGGAATTTATAGGAATTGATATGGGTTTGTAGCAGCCCAAATACAGCAATTGTGTTTATTAACCGCACCTTCCATATGAAAGTGAGCCTCGTTGGTCCACAAAATGTTCCATGGCCATTCATCCTAGAACTCAACTCGCGCAAGAAACCGCAACGCAAAAGTTTGTCGACTATCCAGATCAGCTGGTAAGAGCTGCTGCACTAGCAACAGTTTATAGGGGTAGAAGCGTAAGACCTTTTGAAGAATCTTATGAACCGTGGAACGAGGTTGATCAACAGATGCTGCAATACACCGAACACTAGTGCTGCCGATGGTTTGCGATCTGTCTTCCTCCACTTGCGCCGCTTCATAATCCACTACTTGTGTTGCAACACACTTTCGTCCCCTTCCTGACTGAATCCCTAATGCTTCCGTCGCTTTAAATTTCCTAATTATTAATTATGTTTGTTAGTCCTTGACTATGGAGTGGACCTTTTCGTAACCGCTTCAAAGACTGAAATTTCCACACAGTGCATTCTTACAGGCACATTCCTCTCGCATCCTTACAGGGTTGCTGCGTACGCATAGGATTACTATGGTTACGATATTTGCATATGCCAATAGTTTACATTGCACAACGACATCTAGTGGTGGCTTTTGAAGCTTATGGTTTTTCCACTCGATAAAATTCCCATCATTTCATTCTGCCATTACCCAATTTTCATGCAGTTCTGCTGCATAGTTTTTGCTACAGACTGTTCGCAAATTTCAAGCTTAATTATGGACACCCTGTACAAGTTGCAGTTAACATTCGCAACTTTTTAACTTTATACGCGTGCTTTCCATTTCCATAACCTTCCGGTTTGATCGAATGAATATATATGATGTCAATCAAAAAGAAGATAAGATTGTGTTTAACTTAAGTAGCAAATAAATTTTAAAACATAAGTCTCACATGCTTTATTTCGCGTTGCATAAATTACATTTATATACTTTAATCCTTTGCTTTTATTCTTCTAGAACTGATGCCCATAGAGAAGAAAATGATTTTCTGAGGAATTTCTTACGGAATACCTTGAAAAACAGAGGAGCAGATTTTGTGCTTTATCAAAAATTAGTATCGAATGCAAAAGAATATTTTATCAATGCCTTGCAAGATGTAACAAATACCTTAAAGCAGAAAAATTCCCCCGGAAGTGTTGATTCGAATAATATCGATACACATGAAGAATTCACATAAAAAGTACTTAAAGATTCTTTACCAAATATTAAATTTAAAAAAATTCATTAACTCATTATGTCGCAGCAAATTATTATTTCTGTTTGCAAAGTAAAAATACAACACCGTACACGATGAATTTTTTAAATAAACACAGTGTATCAGACAGTTATTTACTTTTTTAAAGCAAGAATAAGTAGATGAAATTATTTACGTTGTCTGCTAGATATTAAATGGTGTTTAATTTACCCGAAACTTTATTAAAATTCGTAACAAGTAAGTATTCAAGTAAGTACTATAAGTAAGTGTTCAAAGATTAGTTATTTCAACAGCAAAATTTATTTGGATATAACTCAGTGTATCAAAATTAGCTACTATTTCGAAATGCCCAACCACTTTGTAAACTAGATAGTCGATTTGACCAAAATGCAAAATACCCCTTAGCTTAGCTTGTAGAGTCATTAGGCTAATTGGAAGCAGAAAAGATGAAAAATATGCAACCGCCTTCGCCGGGAATCGAACCACGGACCTCTGGAATGCCGGCCCAGCATGCTACCGTTACACCACGAAGGCACGCTAGGGAAGTGGGAGAAATACGTAGCTTATTCGAAAACTAAGTACCGTTTCATTCTAGCGCCGTCGCAGCGCTGTGGTAGGCGTCCCGCGCATGCGCACTAGTCTTTCTTGTTCACTGACTTTCAATTGTCGCCATTTTGGTTGCTCTATGTTGTATTTTCAGTTGCTGTGCACATTCAAAAATGTTTAGACAATTAGTTCTCCCGCTGACTGTGAGATTCGTGCCGTGATTAAATTTTTGAACGCGAGGAATGTTAAAGCGGCCGAAATTTATCGTCAAGTGACAGAAGTTTACGGTAAATACGCGATAAGTGATGGAATGGTGAGAAAGTGGGTAAGAATGTTTAATGCAGGTCGAACAAATGTCCATGCCGAGGCTCGGAGTGGTCGGCCTTCTGTTGTTACCGATGATTTGGTAAGGAAAGTTGATGAAGCAATTCATGAGAACAGACGCTTCACAATGACAACTCTTTCAGAGGCATTTCCACAAATTTCACGTACTGTTTTGTTCGAAATTGTGTCTGACCGCTTGAATTATCGCAAAACTGTGTTCCCGATGGGTTCCAAAAAATGCTCACTGACGTTCACAAAACAAAGCGACTTGGTAGTGTCCTGACATTTTCACGCGGTACAGTGATGAGGGGAGAAAAAACGTTTTAAACTAAATTGAGACAGGTGATGAAACTTGGGTTGTGTCATTTCACACCAGAATCGAAAAACAAATCGATGGTGTAGAGACACACTCATTCTCCGAAAAAAAACAAAGTTCAAAGTGACAATGTCATCAAAATATCATGTGCACTGTCTTCTGGGATAGGAAAGGCGTTTTGCTTACTGAATTTCTCCCAGAGGTGAAACCATTAATGCGGCACGATATTGTGAGACTTTAACAAAACTAAGGCGTGCCATTCAAAACAAACGAAGAGGAATGCTCAGTAAAGGAATTGTGTTGCTCCACGACAATGCTCGGCCCCTATGCTGTGTCATCAATCGTTAATTCGACAGTTTCATTAGGAGCAGTTCGATCACCCGCCGTACAACCCGGACTTGGCGCCGTCCGACTATCACTTGTTCCTTCACATGAAGCGCGAGCTTGGTGGCAAGCGCTTTGGATCTGTTGATGACACGAAAAATGTTGTACAGTCGTGGTTATCGAAACTGGCGGGAAGTTTCTTTGACGATGGTATACAAAAACTGGTCACCCGCTATGACAAGTGTTTGATCATTGGCGGAAACTATGTTGAAAAATAGTTTAAGACATGTATTTTCATGTAAAAATAAAATTAGATTCGAAAAAAATGTTTTTTACTTTTTTTTTTTTTTTTTTTTTTTTCAAAACGGTACTTAGTTTCCGAATACGCCTCGTATTTAGCTAATAGATTATGAAGAAATTTTATTCAACTGTTTGACCTTCTTATGTAGTAGCATAACACTTCCCAGAAAGAGAATAATACAATTTACCTTCGTATTAAAACAATAAATTTTTGATTTTTTACAAAACTTATTAACGTAGTAGAATCATAAGCGACCAGACCGGTTTTAAAAATTATAATAATTTTTTTCTGCAGTTTTAATGTATTTTTTCTTTTCAACATACCTATTTAAGTTGCAATTTTTTATTAAAGAAGCCTGATGTGCCTCAGCTGCCAGGAATGAAAAATTGAGACAAGTAGTATCTATAGCATTCAAACAATAAACCGAGTATACTTTCATAATTTGTACTGAAAATACGAAATACTTTCAAAACTGAGTCCAACTAATTAAATAAAAACTATGGTACAAACAAACAAACAAAATATAATACATCCATTACTGTATTATACACAATTAATTTCAATTAGATTTACAATTTCAAGAAGAACCATTCAATTTATAAAAAAATGCATAAAGATAAACTAAGACAATAATAAATTGCCAAATAAAATTTTTCATATGAATTCAGAATTAAGACCAATAACTTGATAACTGAAACAAATTATCCGAAAATACACTAAGCCGAGATATACAATACAAAAATAAATTTGGTTTAAAAACAAAACCACTTAAAATAATATAAAAACTCTACATCAGGTTTGCTGGCAACGCGATAAAAATACAGTTCAAGAATAATACCAACATAAAGATATGAAAAATTTAGAATTCAAAAACCACATTCATTCAAAAATAAAGACAATGTAATGTCTAAGACAATGTCCACTTTACTTATCAGTCTGGCTAAATGAACTGCTGCGTACAGCTCCAACCTATGTACTGTGGCCCGATGGCGATACGCGTGGTTTGCTACAAACCAAGTTCACTTCGAAGGCTCCATCTTGAGAAATTGACTTGCAATAAATTACGCATCCATAAACTGCTTCGGAAGCATCTTCAAATCCGTGAAGCTCAATATGCTCTGGATTCTTAATTAGTACGCATCTCTATATGCTTATATTGTTTATCGCTGGCAAAGAGTCGAAGAAGTTTTTCCACTGTTGCGCCTCTGTTTCTGGAAGTGCATCATTCCAATCTAATTTTAAATACCACAGCTTTTGTAGGAAGATTTTGGCTTTTGTTACTACAGGACACAAGAGTCCAAGGGAGTCGAAAATGCGGGCGATAGTTGAAAGCACTGTTCTTTTATTAGTGGTAACTAGGCTATCCATCTGAATTTGGAAAGTAAAATAGCCAGTCTTAGGTTTCCGCATAACACTTAATGTTTTTTTGTTTCTTCTTGAAAATTACAGAAGCAATCAGAGTCTGTTTGCAATTTAGAATTATTGCTGTGCCACTTACATAGCATCATACCTCCGCTATTAAGATCTTTTCATAATTCTGCTTGCAGTTCTTTGGCTCCACTCAGCGCATCCGCACTACTCAAAACATCATCCATATAGAAATATTTTTCTAAAATTGGAGATGCTAAAGGAAACTCATCTCTCGAAAGTTGAAGGAGAACTCCTGTTGCTAAATATGGTGGTGACATTGTCCCATAGGTTACCGTTTTCAGCTCGTAAGTCTTAACTGGATCATTTATTCCCTCACTCCAAAGAATTCTCAAAAGTTTAGTTTGACTTGGGTCAATTAAGAGCACTCATATATCTATTTGATATCTGCTACAAACGCATCAATATTGTTGCGTTTTTCTTTTCTGACAAAAGTTGTTACGTTAGTTTCTTCCTTCACGTTCGTACGGGGTTCGTGTGAATTTGGAGTGAATAAGGACGACACTTGATGAAGTATCGAAACACACTTTATTTACCAGTATTGTCAGGACAGCTCCAAAACACGTTTTTACAGTCGTCGATGAATTACCATAAACACGCTGACACTATCAGCGACACAGCCTCCAGGTTATCAGGCTATCACGATGGAGACGGCTTCACGGCAAAGCACTAGAGTACAGCTCGCGACTCTGCTTGGTCTTTCTCGGAACTCCAAGTACTCTCGAGACTCTCCACGCTACCAACTCGCGATGCACTCGACGACACATGAGCACAGCTCCCGACTCTTCGGTTAAGTCGTTCCCGGAGCGCAACACGCTCTCTCGACGATGCACTAACCGCGATACACTAACAAACTCCTTCGGTGCATTCGACGACCCACTCGGCACTCGCTGCCCGGCTATCAACTCGATCTACTCCGCAAGGATTGACTCGCTAGACGATACAAACTCTCTCGCTCTTCAGACGAGGGACTCTGACTCGCCCTCTCGATGAAGCACGCACTGACTGACTGCGGACCAGCAGAGTTTATATAGCTTTCGGCTTGTGTTCGAGAACATTCTGGGCTAAACCGGTAAGAATTCGTTCCAGAAGGTTCTCCATTCGTCCATGGTATATCGCCAATTTTGTCACCAAATAGACGATTTCTCGCCAAATGTGGCAACCCTAAAACTGCTTTGCGGGAAAACTATCTCACCGCTCCTATACAATTTGTAACACTATGTTTACGAAATCGCTTCATTATCTTAAATAAATCGTCTTGAATAACCTCACCATTTTATTGTAACGAATTAAGAAAATTCCTTAAGGTTGTTTCAGAGGAAGCATGAAAAACAACACGTAGATCTGTAATACTTTTATCTAGGTGATAAATTCCCAAATGCGGTATATAATATGCTCCCTCTTCTTCGTCACACTCCGAAATTTCTGTCATATGACTCAGTTTTCCTTACTCGTGTAAAATGTCCCTATATAATTCTAAATATTCAGGCTCCTTTAAAAAGCGCTTCCACAACCAATTTAATTTTTTAAGGGAAAAATCTTTCGATTTTCCTAAACACCTGGGATCGTCTATTAATGGCATTTTTACTATGTATCTCCTCGTTTCATCTCTTTTAACATTTTAATAAATGTGTTTTTCGCGTTATTCTTTGGTACCTCAATCTACACATTTTCAATTTCCCAAAATTTCTCTAAAGTTTGTTTAGACCAGTATTATGAATCTGTTTTCCGTACTCGTGTAAAAAGTCCCTATATAATTCTAAATACTCAGGCTTTTTTAAAAAGCGCTTCCACAGCGAATTTAATTTTTTAAGGGCAAAACCTTTCGATTTCCCTAAACAACTGGGATCGTCTATTAATGG